AGAATTCATTTCCATAGGACTAAAATACAAGAGCAGGGGATGTGCTGCGGAGGCTCTGTAACACTCTCTGGTCAGACCGCCTTTGGAATATTTAAGTTTTGGACCCTGTATCTAAGGACGGATGTGCTGGCCTTGGAGAGGGTCCAGAGGAAGTTTACAAGAATGATCCCGGGAATGAAGGGCTTGTCGTATGAGGAGCGGTTGAGAACTCTGGGTCTGTACTTGGAGTTTAGAAGGATGAGGGGGGATCTGATTGAAACTTGCAGAATACTGAGAGGCCTGGACAGAGCAGATGTGGAGAAGATATTTCCACTATTAGGAGAGACTAGGAACTGAGGGCACAGCCTCGGTGTAAAGGGCTGACCATTCAGAACTAAGATAACGAGTTTCTTCAGCCAACGGGTAGTGAATATGTGGAACTCATTACTGCAGAAAGCTGTGGAGACTGAGTCACTGTATTTAAAACTGAGAGATCCTTTGGTAAGGGGATCAAAGGTTACAGGGAGAAAGCAGGACAATGGGATTGAGAAACCTATCAACTGGATTGAATGGCAGAGCAAACTCAATAGGGTGACTGGCCTAATTCTGCTCCAAAATCTTAACTTATGGTCTTTATAATTTGCACAAATGTGACCTAAGTAGATATTTGTGCTTCTGGGCACCACCCATGCTCTTTCTCCTTGAGTTTATAATGGGCTGCCTTGTTTTTTATTCTCAGCTATCCCCTTTCATATTCCCACCTCCTGTCCTTTTTTGGGTTTGTAGCAGGGCATGACAAAGAAGGCTATCGGCCAACTTGGCTGCTTGTCTGGCTCTTAGAACCATTTGATCCTCTACATGAATTCTTATTTTTGTGGAGAAGGAATTTTTCAAACTCCTCAAAGAATTACCTCCCTGTGGTTCTCTTACATGGTGTCTACTTTGTGCCCATATTCAACTATTTGAAGGTTTTACCCTCAAACTTTATAGGTCTGCCCAGGCTGCTTTCAAAATTTCAAAATGTCTGCATGTAAGTCTCCAGGACCATTTCATAATCAGAGGATAGCCACCTTTGCCTTTTTACAATTTGCAGAAGCCGCCTCAGAAATTGAGGCATAAACTTTGTGAACTTTTTAAAAACCTGCTCTGTATGAGTAGCATCTAGATTTTTTTTTTTCTTTGTCCACTTGAGTAGTTTGCTTTTTTCTCCAAATTAAATAATCAAATGCCCTCATGTACCATTCCCCAAACTTTCGGAGTGCTTGTACCAATTTAAACAGCACCACACATGGCCTGATTTAGAGGGAGATCTTGCACAATCAGGGAATTCAAGAGATTCCAGCCTTTTGTAATCAGAATATGCTTTCTCAATCCCTTCCTCTTTTCTTTTCTAATCTCTGCATTTTCTCCCTGAAATACTTTTTCCCTTTCTCTTTTTCAACCAGAAATGTTCTCTTTCTTTCCAGTCTTCCCCTCCCATTGCAGCATCCAATTGTTTCTGGCTCCACTGCACAGCTGCAATCTATTTTGTCTCTTGACTGTATTTGTGTGAGGGATTTCCAGACATTCCAAGTTTACCATGTATAGTTTGAATCTGACTTGCATTTGCTGTACAAAACTTTTTTAACTTTGTCACGTTTTGGCAGATGCAAACAATGCAAGATTTAGTTCTAAGCTAGTCCCTTTTTTCAACAGTTCCCCTTTTCCTTGCCACACAGAAAATTTCCAGCAGCTTTTGGAAAATGTTCCATTCAGTCTTTGGAGTATTCCAGAGCCAACTTACACCAGCAAGGCCCAAGTCAGTGATTCCTTGCACCTTAAATCTTCAAAAGGACTTGTTGTCATTTTGCTCTACTCAAACAGAAAATCTGCTCCCACCAGCATCCTGCTTGGTTGCTCACACAAAAATGATCTTTTCCTCTGATCTTGACAATGACAGATGCACTGATTTATTTTCATTTCACATCGCAGCAATGCCAGCTGCGAAATCTGTCATCTTTTTCAGTAGATTTGAGTTTAAATTTAACTCCCCAAGAAAAACTGTTCACGTGGGCCTGTCTCTGAGCATGCTTGGTATAATCACCATCCCCCTTATCAAAGCATTCTAATCCAACTTTAAAGGAGACAACTTGTAAATTTTGTATTAATGACGCTATCTTTTGTTTCTGAATAGCTAATACCCCACAAGTACTAAAGACATAATTGACTATAAGAGCATAAACTTTGTACAAGTTATCCATTGACTACTTTTGTATCATTTAGCCTATTCTCAAAACCTCTCAATTTATTTTTAACATTCTGAAATAGTTAGGAAGTGACAATCTACACCTCCTATTCATCATTTGTGAAGCATTATCTAGACAACACTTACCTATCAGTAGCAGTATAATTTTTTTGGTATGCACATTTTATTATACCCAATGCCAATTAGGTGAAAGAGATTGGGAACGTTTTAACCCAGTTTGAGATTGGTTGATTTTACTGGCAATTTGTAGAGAAATTGCACTTGGCAGATGAGCTAGTAACTTATTCCAGGGGGTTTATGGTCTTCTGAGAGATCTCATTTATACCTGCCTTCATCTAACCTTCATACAAACCTCTTCTCCTGCCAACATCTTCCCCATTCTTAACAAATTGAAAAATAATAGCAAGAACACAATCTAATCCTTAACATTTTTAACATATGCTATTTTAAGTCACCTGTATGCATTGCTATGAAGACGCTTTACTTGGAGTACTTAAATTTCTAAAGATTGGGAAATTGAATAGTTTCAAGTTTTGTGGAAAATACTAGCCATGATTAATTTAACAGGTCACTGAAAATTCACTGGACATTAGAGATTTTTAAATGAGACTTTCTTTAAATTACATGAGTGGTGATAACTGCTTGCTTTGTACACCTTGCTTGGAGCTGTTTTGTGCAATGACTGGTTGATTTGGAGAGGTCTTTTTTTAATCTGGTTCAATTGGAAGTAAATCTAAGAACAAGCTGCCCAGCTGATCTATCTTTTGAAAAGAAAACCCTCCTGTTGAGTTCAGGGTGAAATTGCTTGCTCCTTGGAAAGACAGTGAATATGCATTCCAAGATGATATTTTCCTAAGCAAGCTGTGTCAGAGACAGTGTGTGCAGTTAAGAGACTTAGCCATACTAGCAAGAATATCAGAACAGCAGACTCTAGAGCATTCTACACTTCTTTTTGTCTTTAAGAGTAACTCATTGGCCAAAGCTTTTTAAAGTTTTGGGTACATTTGGAGATAAGTATTAACACTTTAATATTACTGTATATCATAAACTAATAACTGTTCATTAAGAAACCAAAATCTTGTTAAATTTTTGACTAAAACCAGATATAGATATGATATTTAATTGGCCATCTCAATTAAATGGAGAAAGGTCTTGTGCAAACATAAGAGTGCTTGATTTAGTTTTATGTTCAAGTACTTCACTAACACTACTTGATACTACTTTTTTGCTTTGGCTACAGCTTCTCTGCATTAGTCCTGTGCTCATGAATAATAAAGATATGAGTGGTTTTGTGGCTTTAATGATCTGTAATACTTTATTCAGAGTGTTATTTTCAACAAAATAAATTCTGAAATTTTGTAACAAATAAATCATAGATTTTCAGTTCCAGTCTTAATTTTAGTAATCCGGGTTGAGAAGTGCATCGAGTGACAACCATTAAAATTTGATCAGCTGAGAGTGAATATTGGGAGCTGAACAGTCGCATGATGTAATTTGTTACCTGTAACCACAGCTGCTGAAGTACGACCAGTGGAGCCAGTACACACAGCACTTTTTACCTCTCTCTGAATCTAGAAAGCATGCTGACAATCAGCATGAGGTTTTAAAATGAGCTGTTGGGAATCAGTGATAAGTATTTGTTTGTTACTATTCCGAAATAACACTAACCTTTCTGATATAATTGCTGCATCATGTCAGCGGTAGTAACTTAAGGACTCAAAAGTTGCATCTCTGCATACCTCAGCTTGTACTAAAAGACAAACTCGACATCTCAAATGCTTGACAGCCAATGAAATACTTTTTGAAATGTAATCACTATTGTAATGTCGGAAATATGGCAGCTAATTTGCATTCAGCAAACCCCCAAAAATAGCAGTGTGATGATTTGACTTTTATCCTTCCACCAACATTGGAACAGATATTGGCCAGGGCATTGGGTAAGCAACCTGCCCTTTCTCAAACTGATGTCATGGACTATTTTGCATCCGTCTGAAAGGGTGGGTGGGGTCTCAATTTAAGTTCTCATCTGAAAGATGGCGCCTCTGTTAGTGATGGTGTAGAGTGTCATAGAGTGCTATAACAGAGAAATTCTAGTGCTCTGACCAACACTTGTTGTTTGCTTGCTAAATGACATGAAATTTTGCTATTCAACTATGAATAATAATAATAATTAATAATAATAATAAAAAATTCTCCCTTTAGGTCCACTTCCCCAAATATTTTAATTTCAACTTACATTTATTTTGTAAAATGTTCCAAGGCACTTCAAGAGGATCATTGTTAGACACAATTTGACACGTGGCACAAAAAAAGTTTAATCAGAGAGGTAGGATTTATGGAGCATTTGGGAGTAAAGAGGTTAGCAGAAAAAATTTCAATACTTCCTTGGGTCATGAGAGCTAAAGGTTCCAATGGAAGAGCAATGAACACTGAGGATCTGGGAGAAGCCACAATTGAAGAAATGCACAGTTCTGTAAGGTTTCTAGAGCTGATTTGGAGGCATAACGATTTGAATACGTGGGTGATAATTGTAAACTTGAGATGCTACATGAAGATCAGCAAACACTGATGATAGCAGCAGAGTTTAAGCGGAAGTTTAGAGGTTGGGAACAGATGTGCTATACCAGATCATACTTTAGAGTAGTTGCCATTTCTACTTATTTCAGTGAATGGAGTGCTGTTTTGTTAATAGATTTGTGATCTGTAATAGTGTTTATTTGAATATCTAGAAGGATTTGGAAGCAATACATAAAAATGTGGTTTATTTCTTTTGCAGAATGAAAGAGACAAACAAAAAGAACAACATATTTTCTCAGTTCAGAAAAAATGACCGTGACAAGCAGAAACTGATTGAGACAGTAGTGAAACAACTGCGTAGTTTGGTGAATGGTATGGCCCAACACACATAAGACTGTTGCCCTGATTACATTGTTGCTAGCCTGTGTCAGTCTTCAACCAGCATTCATATACAACAGACTGTCAAAAGACTCTGAAGGATAAGACTGTATCAAGTACAGAATGAATCATTCAGGAATGTAAAGGGTAGAGTGGAATAAGAGGAGGAGAAATGGGTGGAAACTGTTTTGTATGTGTTTTTCAAATCATTTGGTGTTTTAAGATTTTGAGTATGTGCAATGGCCTTTATTAAGCACCAAATGTTTATCATGTTCAAAACAACCACAAAAAACTAGAAAGCTAAAAATTAGAGCATGTTCTTGATTGTTAGGCAGAGACAACACAGAAGGTGAGTTGGGTAAGTTAACAAAATATTTCACAGGTTTTTACTAGTTGCAGCTGCAGTATCATTTTGCTTTAGTCTAGCATAACACTGCTGTCTAATTTTGTGCAATTGGTCAAAGGTGACATTACTTAGTAAATAATTTTTTTTTAAATTAGCCATGATGTTCCAATCTTGCATACAGAGTTGACTTGTTTCTGTTTCACTTTTTGTTAAACAGATGTTTTGTATGTTTTACCATTAATGGATTAATGTTCATTCTAACTGTTTTCATTTTTCACATTGTGAAAAAAGATGTTCAGGACTGTTTTATTCACATTACAGATGTTACTGCACATAAATTTTGTATTTTTGATTTTTACTCAGGGCTGTACTATGTGAATTTTGTTGGGTATTTTGCAGAAGTTTAAAAACGAACTTGAAGCACTAGCCTGTAGCAATCACAAGTGATATGAAATTACTTTTGATCTGCTTCAGCATATTTCCCTTCTTTCTCTTTGATACACTTCATGTGAGATGTAGATTATTGATGAATAATAATGCTGGTTTTATTTTGATTGTTCCTCTGCACTCCCAATAGGAAATGTATTGTATAGATGTCTTCACTATCTTACTGTATGACCTCCTTTGGCTCCTCTTTGTAAGACAGACAAAAATGAAGGAAATTTAATTCTGTAAATTGATTGATTGCAGTACTTTATTCTTACTCTGTAATAAAAGTAACCCTGAGCACTTTTTAATTGCTATTTTGTGAAGTCTCAATTTTATTTCCCTGTTTGAGCACTAACATTATTTTAAAGGTGATGTGGAATTACTGGTGTATTTTCAAATTATGCAAATTGAATACCTTGTGTATGCTGTTTTGATTGAGGGTGATTCGTAGATGCCTCAATGTGTTGCCCGTAACCCTTTGGTATAAGAGTCATTCATGAATCCTTCCAATACAGCACCGCTGTTCATGACAATATGACTCAACAGAATACTTTACATTTATTCGTGGACTGTGGGGGTTCCTGACTGGGCTGGTATTTATTGCCCATTCCTAGTTGACCTTTTGAAGGTGTGGTGAGCTGCCTTGAACTGCTGCCATCAATGTGCTAATAGGTGCGACCACAATGTTGTTATGGGTGGAGTTCTAAAACTTTAATCCAGTGACAGTGAACGAATGAGCATGTATTTCTAAGTCAGGATGGTGACTGGCGTGGAGAGGAACTTGCAGGGGATGGTGTTCCCATGTAGCTGCTGCCCTTGTCCTAAAGAACTTATGCAGAGATGGCCAAGAGGTGACATAACTGGTTTCCCAGAACTATTTGTCACCTTTTGTGCTAGACATGACTCCAACCAATGGATACTTGTCCCCGATTCTTATTGTCTCTAGTTTTGCTCGGGCTCCTTGATACCAAGTGTATTTTCTTTTTTTTTTTGTAGTATAGAATTCCTACAGTGTGGATGCAGGCCATTCGGCTCATTGAGTCCACACTTGCCCTCTGTAGTGCATTCCACCTAAACCCATTCCCTAACATATCCCTGTGATTCCATGGTTAATCCACCTAGCCTGCACATCCCTGGTCACTATGCACAGTTTAGCATGGCCAGTCTACCTAACCTGCACATCGTTGGACTGTGAGAGGAAACTGGAGCACCTGGAGGAATACCCTGCAACACAAGGAGTGTGCAAACTCCACACAGTCACCCAAGGCTGGAAACAAACCCAGGTTCCTAGTGCTGTGAGGCAGCAGTGCTAACCACTAAGCCACTGTGCCACCCTTAATATCAAGGACAATTACTCCCTCGCTGCACTGCACCACCTCACCACACTTCCCCTCTCCATGTTTGGACCAAGGCTGTAATGAGGTCAAACTGAATAACCCTAGTGGAGCCCAAACTAAGCATAAGTGAGCAGGTTATTGTGAAGTGCTGCTTAAGAACATCTCCCATTGCTTTACTGATGGTCAGGAATAGACTGTGGGGGCAGTAATTGGCCAGATTGTTTTGTCCTGCTTATTGTGTACATAATACATCTGGGCAATCTCACATTGTTGCTGAACTGAAACAGCTTAGCTCAGAGGACAGCAAGTTCTGGAGCAGCCATCTCCAGGACAATTGGAGGAAATATAGCAAAGTCTATACCCTTTACAGTACCCAATGCCTTCAGCTATTCTTTGATATCATGTGGAGTAAATTGAATTGGCTGAAGGCTGGCATCTGTGATGGGGACTTCTGGAAGGGGCAGTGATGGATTATCCACTCAGTCCTTCTGGCTGAGGTTTATTGTTTTACCCCTATCTTTTGCGTTGATATGCTGGGCTTTCCCATTGTTAAGGATGGGAATGTTTGTGGACCAGCTGCCTCCAGTGAGTTTTTAATTTTCCCACCAGGATTGTCTGCCAGGACTTCAGAGTTTAGATCCATTCAGTAGATTGCAGAATGACTTATCCCTGTTTATTACTTGCTGTTTGGTACGCAAGTAATCCTGTTGTGTAGCTTCACCAGGTTAATTCCTCATTTTTCCAATATGCCTGATTCTGCTCTTCATCGAACCATGGTTTATCTCCTGACTCGGTGGTTATGGCAGAAAAGCAGATGTCATTCCATGAGATTGCACATTGTACTGGAGGACAGTTCTAGTGGTGATGACCCACAGCCCTCATGGATGCAAAGCATTGAGTTGATAGAACTGTTTTGAGATCGTTCCTAGTTAGCATGGTGATTGTTACAGACCAGACCAGACCCCCTTCAAACTATATCGAGGAGATAGCCTAGACCCTAACTTGTATAAATGCAAATGTAAGGTGCTGGGTTCCAGATATGTTTTGATTGGTCAAATGTCTAGGCTTTAAGCAAAACACACATTCTTACACCACAGTCAAAATACAAACAAACAAAAAATTGGCATAATTTCAACTCTATTGAAATCTTGAAATAATGTATCATTTAAATACTACTCATCAACAGTTCCAATTTAGCAGCATCCCATAAACACACCCTTGGCAAAGGCAAATTCAGCAAAACAGATTTTGCTGTCTCCTCCAGTCCAGGAGAAATGAAAAACTGACAGACCGAATCTAGCAGCAGAGAGCAAACTAATGCTTTTTGCAGCAGCAGCAGAGAAAACTGTCTCTATCAGCTTTAACTCCGAAACCCCAATTTCAACAACTGACAGCAAAACTAAAACCCTGAATCTGTGTGAGCCTGAGTCCACCTGCTCAAGTTTTCTTTTTTTTTTAAGAAAGCCAAAGCTATTTACTCTGCTTTTGATGGAGCAGATGCCTTTGCACCATATTGGCAACACCCCCTCTTCAAGAGAAACAGGACAGAACAAAGCCACCTTAAAGGCACATATCATCTCACGGTACTATAAAACACAATGGAGGGTATCCTTCATGTGAAGATGGATCTTTTGCCTCCACAAGGATTCTGCAGTGGTCACCCCTGCCAGTACTGTCATGGACAGCTGGAAATTGGTGAAGGTGAGGTCAAGTATTTTTTTTTCCTTTTGGTTCCTTCACAACCTGCCATACGCCTAGTATTAGTGCTACATCCTTTGAGTTGATAGAGACCTAATCAGTTATGGTGTTGCCAAGCTATTCTTGGAATTGGACATTGATGACACTCATACAAAGTACATTCTGTGCCTGTGCTTCCTTCAGCCTGGAGAAGTAATGATTCATCAGCTGCAGAGGTGGTGGGATAGACTGTAATCAGCAGTGGGTTTCCTTGACCATGTTTAACCTGATGTTATGAGACTTTGAGTCCAGAGTCGGTCTTGAGGACTCTAGGGAATCTCCCTCCTGACTCTGTGTGCCACTGTGCTGCCAACTCTGCTGGGTCTGACCTGCCAGTAGGACAGCATATAGACATGGAAGGTGATGGTGTTGTCTGGAACAAAGTTTGTTTGTAAGGTTTGAATCCTTGAGTCTATGTCAGGCTCAAAAAACAAGTTGCTGGAAAAGTTTAGCCAGTCTGGCAGCATCTCCAGCAAAACCAGAGTTAACATTTCAGGTTCAGTGACCCACGGAACAGGACAGTTTGGGACTCAATGGATACGAAGACCTTAAATCTTTATTTTAATCAAGTAATTACATTAATTTTAAAAACTACCATTCTGTTACCAAAGGTAAAATGAAACCTGTTAATATTGAAGCCTTTACAAAATCCTCAACATCCAACAAATACAAAAGTGAAAACAATGAAGATGCTATTTACATGCTTTGGTTTGGAAGATAGCAAGAACCACAGATGCTGAAGTCCGAGTCAATACAATGCGGAGCTGGAGGAACACAGCAGCTCAGGCAGCATCAGAGGAGCAGAAAAGTCAATGTTTGGGGTGTACACCCTTCGTCAGGACTTGCTTTCCTGGTATTAAGTGATGCAGAAATACAGTGAACCTTGTAACCAGCTTCATTTGACTGTATTTTAATCCTTCAAATGCATTCATTATCATATTTTTAAAGTGACACAATTCATTTTCAGTTTGCATCCCCTATCCAAAAGCTAATGATATTAATATGACTAACTTCCCTTTTTGCTCAAAAGTTCTCAATGTCCTGATGTAGGATCATTTTTTAACTGTGCAAGTAAGTCTGCAATAATTTGAATATTGAGTTTCAAATGAATTTTCTACAGATTTTGATGTCTTTCTTTTGAACTATCAATGAAGTGGCATGTGTCCTTGTACTGTCAACTTGAAGGCCTAGAGTGACTAAGGTTGCAAGAATGGACCCCCTAAGAGCTCCTAAAATTAAAAACCGATCAACTGTGGAGAAGGCGAAAATTAGTCAGAATGCATGTTTTTAAACATGTTATTTTGGAAGGGACACCGCCTTGAATCACCCTTGGAATGGTTTCTGATAGCGCTGGCAGGAAGGAGGGTGGCCTTTCTTAAATAATAGGTGTGAAATCTTTAATGTGCTAACCGCTTCGTCCGCTTGTTGCTAACAACAGGATCTATATCCATAAAGACCTTCTGCACATTTTGACCATCAGTTACCCTGTCCCCTCCTCTAGCAGTCCACATGAAGAAAGTGACGCTTAACAATTTTTGTTTGGAGATTATTTCACTGAATCGTTTACTTGCGGGCTTTCTCGCCTTCACCATTGATGGTCCGCATCGCCCTTAACGGATTTTGCGTGTAAATTATTCAGTTAGAAACGCGGGTGATTTATTGGTGATGGTGGTTAATAGATTTTAGAAAAGACCGTGGGTAATTTTGTGGCAGAAAAAAAACGTTCACGTGTGTGAGAGTACTTCTGGAGATATGTGTATATATATGGAAGGCCAGCGGGCTTTCTGCAACTGTACAACTGGACAGTAGGCAACAAAATGAAACAAAAGGTCTTGATTTGCTTCGGTAAACAAGCTTCACAATGTTCTAACAAGAGGAATGGTGTAAACGTGTCTGTCTCACTCCAGCCAATCCATTTCTGTAGGTTAACAAATAAGTGTAGGGCTCTGTGTGCGTGTGTGTGTGTGTGTGTGTGTGTGGCCTTTATGGTCGCTCCGCTTGTTGAGCTTCTGCGGGAAAGAAATGTGTCTTCGCAAAGACAACAATTTTAATGGAGTGCTTCCCCCCAGCCCGCTCAAATCCCTGGCGGCTGTTTGTTTTCTGCGCTGTGGTCGGATTGTACCGACTCATGTCCGGTAATTCTCGAGAGAACCTGCGGAAAGCCGAGGAGAGAAAACTGGCAGTGGATTGGGAATGCTAAATGGGCCGACTGCTACTTTACCCAAAGATAAAACAAGCCGACTTCTAATTGGGGCTGAAGGAGAATCCTGGAGAGAGAAGAAAAGGCTGTCTTCCCAAAGCAGGAGGATCGAATCCGTTAAAAGTTTTGCATTTCTCCCCAGCCATGGGAGAGCCCTTCTTTGTAAAGTAAAGCTTTCCTTCCCAGTGGATTAGACTAAAATACCTGGTTTTCTCCAGTTTATTACTTGGATTTTATTTTACAAAAAATACAGTTCCATAAATATATTCGTCTGAAAAAAATAAATTTAAAGCAAAATACTACGGATACTGGATTTTTAAATTTTTTTTTATTAATGTTAATAAAGTCTGTTGAATTTTTTTAAAACAAGCCGGTGTATTGCGATCTTTTAAAAGCAAAGTGTTGTTTAAATTCGGTAGTTCATAGGTAGCGACCATCACAGCAAATAAAAGCTGAAAATTAGCGTTGCCGTTTGAGGCGGACTCCTGGTGAAACTGAGCTAAACGAGGCACCCTCCACCTTTTTAACGAATTCACTGGAGTGCAATTCTCCCGCCGCACCGGGAAAGGGTTGTGTGCGGATCCCGATACTTGTTCATGCTGGGAATGTGTTAACGTGCAATTCCCCCAAATGCAAGGACCCAAACGCTTAAGCAATGAAGGTATGAGGGGGAGAACTTATCCGTATGTTCAACAAACACACATGCCCAGGATTCTCCTTGGTTGGGAGAATTTGAATGGGAACAAGGCTTGCAGCTCCAGGTTGTGGCATTCTGTGGGACTGAGAGTGAAGGTAACATGCTGCACAGTCAACTCGTAATGTATACGGGTGGCATCCGTGTTTAGACCTGAATTTGTGGTTAATTGATCCCGTTATGTTTGCTGTGCGTGGCTGATCCGATGGAGCAGGCTTGGATGTTACCGTGAACATTCCCTGCTGGTTGTATAATTAAATTGCTTTCTGAGAAAATCGTCACGATGCTTCAGCGCCAGACAGTGAAGATTAACAAAGATGTGTTAGCCGTAATACACAAAGCTGATCAGGATGTTAATTCAGAAATAACATAATTCAAATTCCTTAGTTTATATTTTAAAAAGTGCACTTCACTTCCCCTGGACAGGTTTTATTCTATCTTTACAAATACTATTTAATACAAGTCTTGCTTGTGTAATGTTAAATTTAGACTTGCTACATGAAGTTAAATGCAGAATGCACTTGAGGGGGATGCACAGACCAAAATTAAATATATCCCCTGTTAATAATTCTGCCAAAGCATGAACGGTTTAAATAAGCGTGCGACTCCCTGTGAGACCTATAAAGTCAGTGCAAGTCACCTGGAAAGAGATTGACACCGTTTGAAGGCAGTGCACAGGCTGACGCCATTTTCCAAGAATGATAACTAAACTGATTTTAATTTATTGGCTTGGAAAAGTTAACTCTCCCCGAAACCCAGAAAATGATTTATCCGGAGGGATTTCTGTACCTGGTGGGGGATGGGGTGTCTCATCTCCTGGGAGTGTCTGCGCTTTTCTTTCTGCTAAAGGGACATTTGCACCAAGCAAAACAGGCTGCAGCAGGTGTCTTCAATATCCAGCCGGGGATAAATGATACGATACACCTGGAATTGAAGGCAGTTCCATTCAAAGAAAGTGCTGATGATCAATTTAGCAAAGTGAAACTGGGTTACCCTGATAAAAATATTCACAGTATGGAACCGAACCTGAATCATAGACACCGGAATATCAAAAAGCTTGGGAGGAGCTGCATGCCACCGTCTGATTTGTGGCGGGAGGGGGGACTTCTGCTTGTTTCTAGTAAATAAATTTGATTTTGAAAAGCCTCGGCGTCTGTAAGCCATAAAAATAATAACTTACTAGCGGCAACTAGCAGGCTTTCTGCTTTAAGTGGCATTTCAAGGATTTAGCAGAGTAAGAGGCGCGCAGTTGGTGGTCTGGGTGCAGGAGGGACAGTCCGTAAAGACAAACCCCACTGCGGATAATTAAATCCCAAACTACTCCAATCACTGTTTGGAGGAAAGCAAACAAATATGGACAAGCGGAACTCTTTGAAAAGGTGAAAATGATGTTGTGGTGAAAAGAAAATCTGCAGCAACTAAGTAGCGAATGTGGCAGCGAGCAGGCTGGCTACGTTGTACATTTTCCCGACGTTGTGTACAATCGGGGCCTGGTCAGAACTGAGACTGTTACATTCCCAGTGTCAACTGAAAGCCAGCAGTGAATGGCAATCCACTGAATCTGCATTGATTCACTACCACTGATCACAAATACCTGCCGTGCAGCGACTTAAACAAAAAAAAAACCGGAAGCGACTCAACATCAGGATTTTGAAGTTTCTAAATAAGTGTACTAGAAAGTACTAATGTACTTTACACTGGAGATTGTTTCTGCTGGTCAATATTTTAACACCCGGCCCCACCAGGATTGTGTGGCTGTCGGGGGGTGGGGGGAAATGGGGTGAGGGGTGTAAGTGTGAGGTGAGGCGAGTGTGTGTGTGGGGTAGAGGGTTGTGTGTATGGGTGGGGTGAGGGGTGTGTGTGAGTGGGGTGAGGGGAATGTGTGTGTGAAGTGAG